AATTCGCTGCATAAATTTCGAAACTGTAATGAAGGCTTTTGTATAAGGCGCTGTTAGAATGATTACCTTCTCTGCCAAAGAAGATGATATGTACCCTATTCGACTATATACGTACTATATGAAAAGAAGGGTATTGTTTGTTTATCTATTTATTGTTCCAAAACATCTTTATATCATTTGACTCTAAAATCGCAAAACAAAATTTTAGTAAATTTAATTAAATATTTTTTATGTCCATGTGCTTAGTTATACCATATTTAGAAGTTATACCATATTTTCCGCATATTGCCGTTTTCGCTTTTAAACAACTCTAGTACAATTAGATATATTATACTTTACATTTACACAACCTTTGCAAAAATTCGTCATTTTGTAAAATATTGTACCCTTGCTAAGCTCTAACATTGCAAAATTTCAGTTATTAGCGATACGAAGATAAATTAAATATGATTATGAGCTACATTTTTATCTTTGTTATGACTGATATAGATTTTTCATTCAAAATTATTTAATTTAGGTTTACATTTTAATCAACCACAGAAAACTGATGCCTTGTTAGGTGCAGAATGGTTTTATGAACTATTGAAGGCTGATCAAATTCCTCTACGAAATTCGAATTTAAAAATTCCGTCTTCTTTTCAAAATTCCGTATTTGGATACATTAATAGTGGTATAAATTTTGGTTCAAATTCAGACAATATGATTCAGTGCGGATTTATTAAAATTAAAGACTTAAATTCACTATCTAGATACCGTTGTTTTATCACAATGCGAGAAACACACACACATTTATGCATATTCTTCATTATTTAATTTCTTTCAATATAATACTAGACGAAATTATTAGGTGGAAACAATTTGAAAAATGAAATAAATCTTGAAGTGAATCAACGCAAAATGTCGAAAAGAAATTAATAATCCTTCCGGGCAAATTTCCACCCTTTGGACTAACAAAAATAATTTCTTATTTTACACATTCCAGTAGTAGCCTTTCGTGCATATTCATTCAAGATTTTCCGCTGGTTATAGCCGAAAATACCGCGGCAGAAACATCGCGAACGGAAACAACGCAAGGCGAAAGTTTCGTGGTACAAAATATTATGGAAGAAAACATCGCAGTTATAAAACATCGTGGTGCAAAATAACGTGGTCGAAAATAAAGCGGTTCAAAACTTCACAGTTTAAAAACATCGTCGTCAAAAAATATCGTGGTAAAAAATAATGTACCTACAAATCATCGCATGACGATAACATCGCACATATGCGTTTTAAAATCCAATAATGACATATTATGTAACTGACTTTCGTCATAACTAACAAATCGACATCCAAAAAATTGATTGCACGTTATACATGAAAATGTTAGCTACACTAAATAAAAAGAAACAAAACAATATACAATTTTCACTAAAACAATATTAGATTAACAAATGTGAAAGAAAATAATTAGATCATTAACCAAGCAATTTCTATAGAGGTAACCTCATGCAGTTATTTATCTTCCTTTTTCTAAGCATTTTGCGAATGTATTTTTTATAAAAATTACCAGTAAAGCTTTATAACAAAGGGTTAATTTATTAATGACCTTTGTTTATTTACTACGTTAATTTAAAATTCTATAAGTTGCATTAATTTTCTACTCATTTTCAATTTTTAAATGCTTAATTTTCCTTCTTATGTTTTAAGCAAAAAATTATTAATTCGGTCGAAAATATGAAATATAGAAGTAAAAGAATGCCTGTTTCCTTCTTACTCTCCCAAATCACTATACGAACATGCATTTGCAACTTTTAAAACCTGAAAACGCATGTGTGCGATGTTATCGTCATGCGATGATTTGTAGGTAGTTTTTACCACGATATTTTCGGAGACGATGTTTTTAAACGACGAAAAAGTTTTTGAATCTCTTTATTTTCGACCACAATGTTTTGTACCACGAAGGTTTCGCCTTGCGTTGTTCTCTCCGCGACGTTTCCGTTCGCGATGTTTTCGGCGGACACCTTACTGCTAGCCGCAACTCGTTGCCCTTTCTTTTCTCCACTTTCTTACTTCCGTCCTCACGGAACTTTACACTGCCACTGTTCAAGCAATGTCAGGCTTCATAAAAGGGCAGTACTTCAACTGAACTGATAACGTTACGCTTCGCGCGATAAATCTGCGATAATTCAAGATTGGTACTGGTATTGGTAAGAGCGATCATATCCCCTTGCAGCGTGAAAGGAGGTTAGGATATGGAAAGAAGAGGTTGAAATCATGTCTTCCATCAAAGAATGTGCATTTCTGGTAGTGGGATACCGGATGTTAGATCATAGTCCTATGGCAACAAGGCTTAGTCTTCAAACACGATTGAATATACTTAAAGGATCCGATGTGAAAAACCATTCACAAAATTCTCTTCGCTAAATGTCCAACGGACAGGCAGCGTGGCTGAAATCTGGTAGGAAGTTTTGGTGGCAGGCAAATTATAGTTACGCCTGAAAATGTCGCAAATTTTTCTGGAATTATTCAGCAAAACACAAGCAGATCCGTCCAGGAGCCAAAGTATAGCTCCATCTGTTGGCAGCTTTTTTAACTATTATTTCAAAACTTCTATACGACAATCTTAAGCTTTCTCAATAAATATATAACTTGTTGCATTCCTCTACCGATCTTTGTTTCCGAGACTTTTAATTTTAAAATCGAGGACTCTTTTGCTGGAAGCTCTGTATATATGTAATGATTCCAAATGTGTAGATGAAAACAGTGGAACTTTTAACAGCTTACCATACTGCGTAGATGACCGAGAAAACCGTAGTGGGTTGAAAGAGGCAGAGTGGAAAGCTTGATGACGCAATTTAGCACAATGTATTTTGAAAAATCACATCCTTTTTCAGACAAGATATTTCCTAATTATATTTAAATACAGAGTACGACGTCGTTTTAAGCAAGTAAGCAGCAGCAGCATACATAAAAAGCATCTTGCTGATGCGAAAAAGGGAAAATATCATAGAACTTCAAAGGAAGAAGAGTGGGTATCGGGGAAATTTCAGTTCAGAGTTTGGTTTACAATTAATTTGATTGGACAAGAGGTATCTGCATTAAAATCTTAGGTAAGATAGAAAAATCTGGAATCTGTGAGAAGAGATGAATTTAGTGGCAGATTACCAATTTAGAATGGTAATTTTGAGGTCGCCAATTATTTTTTGAAACAGCTATCATATTTTGTTATATCTTACATATATATAATATTAATGACTCCTGTGACAGCTCAGATTGACTCTTCGAAACAGGAAAAAATTATTCCTTGTGTACATGCTATAGAACTAAAAAAGGGCCGCGAGTTTAGAAGCAATCCACAGTATACGAGCCGTGTATCTTAATCTTATCAACAGAAAATTACGTTCTTTAAAAATAATTAATTTTTTATACAATGGTAAGAGTGTGGCCAAGCATCCGAAGACTATCTGCTTAACGGAAAGGCTTTTTAAGAATTCATGGTAGACTTTCTGAAGGTAACCTTCCTATATAAACTTTATGCATGGGAAAAAAGTATTGTTCCTCATCCATATCTGGTCTCTTTGTTTGAATTTGCAATCCATTCCTTTAACACTGGACCTAACTTTTCATTATATTAGTGGTTACACGTATTAGGGCATCTGAATACGCACTTCTAGCTCACGTAAATATTAGTCACTCTACAACCATGCATTGGGTAAAGTAATAAAAATGAAAATCGCACTGCAGATAAATTCTTAATAAAAGAGTATTTATAAGTATTTGAATTTGTTCTTTTTATGAGAAACAAAATATTTTCTGCATTTCGTGTTGTTTACTGCTGTGCAAAAGAAGAGAAATTCATATGAATTTTAAATTCTTTAAAACATTCTAAATGTTGTCTAGTTGTGATCAAGCAATTTACAGCATACTATTTCAAAATGACTCAGCCTTTGAAAAGCAGCAAAAGAAAAATGCTCCCTTGATAGTAACGACTGAATACGAGAACTCCAATTTGGTTCGGGAGTTTAGTTGGAATATGTTTTATACCGAAAATTGTTAACTTCAGCTTCAGAATAACTATTTAATACTTTTTAAAACAATCTTTCTAATGTATTAGATATAAAAATACTGTAGACAATTGCGGTCACTAGAATGTGTGCCATTTCTTACCAAAAATTTGCAATTCTTTTCTAAAATTGCTTCATACTTCTATATCAGAAAAATGCTTGTGTCTTTTGAAGAGGGTATGACAAACGAAACAAATATTTGGTAAGATTGTGTATTTTAAGGGTGCTAGACATTAGCATATTAATTACTTTAATTATTCTCCCAAACATTTCTCTTCATCCGACTTTCAATAAAAGCAAAAATCTCAGCTCGGCAATTTGAATGAGTAGCAGAAAACTTCGCATCTTTTCCTCATTATATTTGAAAGCTGTTCCCTTTACTAGATAGATTATTCAGTCGCTTTTATAAATTTTAATTTTGGTTTTAAATTTTGAATCTCTGTTTGGATTCTTCTGTAAACTCTAAACTCCAAAGCTGCGTCTTTGGATTCTAGTAGCAGAAATTTTTCGAATCAAGATAAATTCGTTTTGAAAATATTTAGCACCTTCTGTATCTTTAGCACGATTTTATTGCTATGTGCCATTTTCTTGTATGCAAATGCAGATGCGTTATGTAAGATGATGTTTTATGTTAATGAGCATCGTTATCAAATTTTGTTGTTTTAGATGGAGTATGTTATCATGCTCTTAACACCTTTTCACGGCAAACGCCGGAACATTTTAAACTTTGGTGTCCTTAACCTCCAGTTCAGAGCATTCCCTAATCAGAATTCTTGAAGAAAGCTTTCCTCAACATGATATCGGTCGACCTCGGCTCTTATTTTCTAAAATAAATTTTTCGAACTTTTTATGATAACCCTTTTCTTTACAAAGTCTGCTCGATTTCTCAAGGCCCTTAAAATAATGTAAACACACATGGCGAGATATATATTTTTATTTATTATTATTCCGCCTGCTTCTCCTCCCAATGGGGACTACAGGTCAGTCATATCCTGATTGTTGCACCAGCAACCGCTTTTGGTTGTTTATCTTTTCAACCTTATTATTGATAAACAGATTTAACATTAGTGTATTACTACATACGGCCATGAGCTGATGACAGAGAAGTCTAAAAGTAAATAAATAAAAATAAACACATTTATTTTTAGTAATAAGAAAAAAAATATTCTAACAGAATCTAAAAATACTGAAATACTTACCTCGAATCCGGAACCCACTTGATAATACAAGGGCAGAACCAGGGGATTTTCCATGAATATTTGATCAACTTCATCAAATAACTAGCAAAAGAAAAGTGAATACGTTCAAAATAAAATAAGCTGAAATGGTAAAATACGATCAAATAAAAATAAAATACGCTACGAAAATACGTGTAAAAAACTTACGTCATCGTCCGAGTCACGGAAGGGAAAGTCAGGATCTTCAAATAGCACCTGGCAATTCAATATTTAAATAAATAAAACATTCAGAAAACAATAAATTCTTTTTCAAAATATAGTAAATTAAAAATCAGATACACGCGAAAAATAATTACATATTTCAGCAGTAAAATAATTGCTAACATGTGATTTGCATTGATTTTGGAAATAGGATTTTTTAAAATGTATAAAATGCATAACATAATAATTTACTTTTGTAGATTAGTTTCATTTTTAAATATTTTGCTATAATATTATAAAAAGTATTTTAAGTATTAATTATTTTAACAAAATTTTAACAATTATTTAGCACGTCTTTTTAGTACTAATTAGATTTAATAATTCAAGTATTTATATTAAATTTATATTTCATTAGATTAATCTACTTTAGATTAATATATTTAGATGAAATAAAGTAATGAAACATTGCAAAATAAATCTTATGCAGACTTCAGTTTCTTGAAAGAGCAGATTTAGTGTCTTTTCATTCTGAAAGTAACGCTGATGAACTATGAAAAAGATTCTAAAACGACCACGTCTAAAAACGGTCATATCATGACGTTTCAGCGGAGTCGACAAATTTCCAAGATGCAACGGCAAATATTTTGCGTCTTTGCAACTTTGTAAAGACGTCGTAAAAGTGACCATGACCACTTTGCAACCTCTCGGACCACGACGTTGCCGTGCTACTTGGGATCTAATATTTTGTGAAAACAATGTATTTATTACTGCATTTGAATAATCACTTTTTTTGCGGTTTATGGAACATTTCACAATACGTAACATTTTCCCCTGTCCAAGTAAATACTCGTGGAGTTTACGCCAGAAAATGAATGCATTTTGTACAAAATTTATAATAGGTTTACAATATTCTCTACATACATAATTAAATTTTAAAAGTTAAATAAAAATGTGCGAATTCCTCTCATATATATCTTTCCTTTGATTAAGAAAATATTATCACAGACCATTTTAATAATCTTTAAACACGCCAAGCTGTAAGACACTACAAATCACACAACAAATTAATCCATTCTGTTTCACTACTCTAATACGTAAAATTAATCCAAAATAAACTCAATGCATACACGTGTTTGGACGACTGACATACGAAAGGTGATAAGATAAGCTTTTAACATGAAAGATACATCTTAAGCAAACAGCTAAAGTTCGGAAATTGCGTCTGTTCTCTGAGAGTATTGAATTTGCTACCGTTATCTAAGGAGTTGTCTAGTGTATACTTTTAAGAATATTATTTATAAGAGGGAAATTTCGATGACATATAAATGATAAAAATGATAGTTACTTGCATATGTTGCAGTAGTAAACTATTAATTGTTAGTCTTACATGTAGATAATTAATTTTTGTATGTATATTATATTTCATTTTGAAATATTTTCGGTACATATATTATGGCTTATAATGTAAATTAACTAGTTATAGAAAAGCTTTTAAATAGGAAGTATGTGAATATGTGAATAATTTAGTAGAGGAAGTTATACTACTTCCTGACAAAAGAGTTTCTCCTGTTGCTTCTAAGATATATCTGACTTCTTAATAAATCTTAGAAAAGAAATTTCACTCTGTCATGAAAGCGTGCGCGAAAAATACTCAATATTAATAACATATGATTCACTTAGCTAATATATAAACTAAATTGTGTTCCTTTGAGCAGAAATGAATGTATTTAGAAACTCGGGTTAGATTTTGAAACGTTTTCTTATGAATTAATATTATTTAGTTTTAATGAAAGAAGTATCTACGTTAAAAATAGTATTTTATAACTTAACAAGTATTGATGTGATTTTAATGCGTTTGTAATGAATTGTTCGATGTAGTTGCATTCTGGATTGATGCAATATTTTCATCCTCCTTACAAGTTTCTATCTTGTAGGTATCATATTTGGTTTTCGTTTTGTAATTATGTTTCGAAGTTTATTGACATAAACTGGATCTAGCTTGTGATACACACTAGATCCAATTCCTTTTTCTTTGTTACAGCCGCTACACATGAACATAAAATGCAGAAGAAAAACGTACGTTTTTGCTGCCTTCATGCCCTTATACCTGAGTTCTGATTAGGCCTTGCGTTGTCGTGGGACGGCTGGATGATATGTTTTGATTGTGATGCCGATAATTTACGAACCTTTAGAGAAAATTTAATAATTGTGAATAAATACTCAGATTCTGTGACAATTCATATTATGATGTGCATTCATTTTATGAGACTAATTTTGCACTCATCCTGAAGATTTTAAATTTTTTCTTTGTAAAATTTAGATACACGCCCGACAAAGGAAATAAAAGCTCTTTTTCTAAAAAAAAATCCTTCTTTCTCCCTTCTTCCCAATTCAAGTGCTATGCTGTAGTAACTTCAGCGATATTCAGTGATTATATTTTTTCAGTGCTTGATGATTTCAGAAGTTAAAATTCTATAACGGAACATGGCCTTGGTTAACTAGGAAAGATAATTAAATATTTTCCTCTTATTGTTTTTAAATAATAAAAGAGAAGCCGATCAAAGAATTTCTACCTGGCAGAGGAAACAGCTGACTAGGCAAAAAATATCTGTTGAGTACGTAAACATCCATTGTGCAAACCATCCGTTGGTTTAGTGTTGGTGACGTTGTTCATCAGTTTGCATTTAAAATTCATGCTTAATTCATTTTCTAAAAACGAAAATTATTCTATTAAATGGTGACATAAACCTATTTTTGCTTTTAAGTTACATAAATATATTTTTGCTTTTAAATAAATGTATATCATTTAATTATAGTAAACATTATACAATTTTAAAAGACATTAAAATTTCAATTTGTCTTTCAATAAAATTTAATCATTGTCATTTAGCTCCCTGAAAGCTTCTGAAATATCGTTTTTAGTTATATCCGATAAATGCATGTAAATCAACAACAGTATCTAATTATAAAAAGTATTAATTGGATATAGTTTTTATTATATGTATATATGCAGGTAGATGTACCGAAGTGAGGACGTGATTTTTGATGACGACATAGATGTTATAATGATGAAAGTCGATTTATAAAAGATAGGTGCAATCGTGGCTATTTGAATACTTACATTCTTGATAAATATTTTCATAATATTCTTGATAAACATACTGATTCATAAAACACGTGGACGTTCTTAATCACATTTTTAGTTTCGTTATATTTATTGTTAATAATTTCGATGGAAGAAAAGTAAGCGTACACACTTTACCAGAGTAGCAAAAGAAAAAAGTATGTCCAGATTCCAGTTAGTATCATCAAGTTTTCTTTGGACTTCACTCGGATTTATTGCTAGAGATTTGCTGTGTAGCAAATTTTAAATGTGCTTAGTATATTATTTAACTAATTAAGTACTTATTTAACTGAAACTGTTTGTGACTAGTGTCGTACATTATTTTTTTACTAAATAAAAGCTTTTCGTATTTATTTTTCGATGCTTTTTTTCACGAAACAAGGAGCATTTTTTCGGAAAATCTGGGCGGAAACCAGACTTACTTGGTCATACTATATATTAGTGTTCTTTACTATATATCAGTGTTCTCCAAACTGATTCTTTTGGTGGGTTGCGAATAGCATTTACGATGAGAAGCGGAATCGTTTACTGCCTATGAAAAGAAGAATTAATTGGCATCTTTCTCCACTTTTTGCTTTGTGAATTTTGCAAGAAGATGGATAAATGGTTTTTTCGAACGGACGGTTGTCTAGTGAATTTTTTCGAGTGGCAATTAAAAAGGCAGCAGTGACCTTTTCCTTTGTGTTGTTCTCCGAAGTTAGGTGAGGTCGAACTGCTGCTTCTCACGCGTTTAGGATGACTCGATGTGCAGATGCTTAGTTCGTCTTTGTAGCAACATCCCTATTTCTATTTGTTGGGGGCACTGAAAGTAATAAAAGCAAAATAGAGGAAATTCTTCCGATTGGACAAACTTAATTTTATGTTTAATTTTCGGCCTGTAGCATTTTAGTGGTTGGATAAACCGAATATTCTTCGAGGCTTGTGCGTGATTTAAAAACCGATTTTGAAGTTTGATCTGAAATCATCAAGTAAGAAAAAGACGAATCTGAGGCCAGTTTTGTCTTGCTGCGGGCTTACATGCGCAAGCGGGCTGAAGACACGTTTTTTCCTGACAAGAGTTTGCTAGGAACAGAGATTTGCCTACCGAAGGCAAGGGGCCAGCGCTGTTTCGCTATGGGCCCAAATTGGTTGGGGCTTCTTAAAATATATAATATTGGTAGCTTTGGTAATGGCTGATATTATCAAGAGATTTCAAACGAAGGAAAACGTGCTAGAGTGAACGACTAGAGCCTACTTTGTATTCCTTATGAAAGTGCAGTTTACTGCGAGATGATCTAGCACAGACTTAACCTGCATCTCATGATAATCACTTCCGGACTCGAAACTGGTGTGAACTCATAGTGAACCAAGCTTTTAAATTTTCTTGATCAGTATTCGTCAGTTTGGATTTGGATGGAGATTCCTCGGTTGTCAACCGAAATGAACAGGACGATCTTTTGTACTGTTAAAACCCCCTATTCTTCAGGCGAAGTTGGCATTCCGCAGGAATAGAAGTTTGATGTACGGGGCTTCACCTATGAGTGATGACTTTTTTTCTTCTGTCTTCTCTTCTCTATATTGACGGTTTTAGGCATCTTGGAAAATTGGTGACTAATCAATGATCATTTCAAGGTATATGTGAACGAAATTATTAGAAAATTTGTTTGGTCATTTAAATTTGTGAACTAGGAAATGCAAAAATAATATTAAAATAAGATATAATAGTTAAAATGAGTACATTTTATTTAGCGAATTGTAATGTATGTGTTTAAAAGCATCTTAGGGAACTGATCAGTTAACCCAAGCAGTTAGTTATGAATGTGTATTTAACCTAGAAATTCATAAATTTATTTAATGATAAATATTTTATGTTTAATTTGAGTTATTTTATTTGGTGGTCTGTCTAGTCACTCCATTTGTTTGAGTCGTAAGAATTTGAAGAAACATGGATGTAGATTTACCTAGGATATTGTTAACTATTTTTAAGAGTTGTAAACACAATAAAAGCTATGCTATACATGTACTAACTACTTTTTAATACTTATTGTTATTAATATATTAGATTATTGTAAATTATTTGGTTATTTGAAGATGCCGAGAAATTATTTTAACTCATTGGATTTATTATTTCACGGCGAACCGCTTGATTGATCTATATGAATATTTCTTCTCTGGTGTTTATGAAATTAAATTCAGGGAAATTACTTTATTATTATATATTGAGAAAGTTATGAAATTCATTGAGTGTTTAGCTTATATGAATTGAAAGTAATGGTATTTTTAAGAGAGATAGCACAATCTTTCGAGCACCAGCGAAGATTTTATCCTTTGGATTTCCAGGTTATTGATTTAAAGAAAACAAGTTTAAAGTTTTCATAAAACAATTTCTTAATGAAAGAAGCATCCCTGATAATTAAAATTCCCCTGCTTTGTAACTGACACCGTGCTTATTCTTCACACACTTTGCACTTTTTCTTTCGAGAAAGCTTAATTTTTTCTTTCTGTTTTTGTAAAACTTGTGGAATGCCGCCAAGAGTCATGATTTTGCACATTATCAAGTTATTCCCTACTCAATGTAAAATTAAGGACACATACCTAACCTAAATAACCCAACACTTACATTTGCTCCAAAGATTAATGTTCGAAAGTTTATGAATGTTTCTTTCAGAACAATTTGCAATAAAATACCATTAAAACGTTCCTTGATACTTTGAGTTTTGCCATGTATGCACTTTTTTAATAACTTTTGTTTATGTAGTCAACTCCATATATATAGGTTTAATTAAATTCAAAATATATGTTAATGTAACAGAGGTTTTTTCCTGATTTTTTTCCCCTGATTTCTGCAATCGCACATTCATAGTTGCACCAACTCATTGATTGAGAAGGGCATTGGCTTCGAAGAAGAGCTACAATGGAACAAGCAGCTAGTACAATCTACTGCGTCTAAATTAAGTTTCCAACATGACTTCTAATTGCAATCCCTAATTCTGCAGTTTATCAATAAAAGAAT